CGCGTCGAAAAAACTGGTCATCTTTTAAGGCTATCCACGAATCGATCCAATTTTTTACTTCTTCATAAGACCGGAAGTGCTGGTCAGCCAGGCCGTACCATTGATCGAAACAAGTGATAGAGAGCACTTTCGCAACATGGGGTCGAGCATTGTCATGCTGCAAAATCACTCTCATTGTATTGCGGCCGTTTGTCTTTCAATTCTCGGCTCAAACGCATCAATTGCGTTCGATACCGAGCGCCTGTGATTGTTTCAGTCGATTTTAACAGTTCATAATACACTACGCCGAGCTGGTCCCAAATACAGAGCATGACCTTGGACGTCAAAATCACCGTTCTTGAAGCGTTGAAACCACTCACGACACGTTTTTTCACTAATAGCGGCCTCACCATAAGTATTTGAGAGCATTTGATGAGCCTTAGCCGCAGATTTCTTCATATTGAAGCAAAAAATTAAAACCTCCCGCAAATGACGAAAATTTGGCTCGTAAACTGACATTTTCAATCGAGAATAACTTTATGATGCAGACCCAAATCGACTAATGTTTCTATGGGGTTATGTTGACAGATACCCAAGTTTATTGTATGACGTCTATGATCTATTTATTTCGACCACCACTTACCGCTAAAGCCATCTATAGGAAAACGGCGGAAACAAAGTTGTACACCTAATATTGGAATGAAGATACAGATTATAGAAGTAAATAAATCGTTATAAATTATTATTCGATGACCAGACAAATTTATTCGTAAAGTTACATTTATTTTTACATTATAAATATGTCTATTAAAAAGATAAATTAAATTGAAATTTTACATCGCAGAAAAACACAAATAAAATAGCAAGGTATATTCATGTGAATTTGTGATTTGTATTTTATCTTTCTATGTTTTAAAAATGTTCTTCAAAATACGATATAAAGAGAAAACATCAATTGAATTGCATGCATACTGTTCAAATTTGGAGCTTCGTGCTCTTGCGCAGTGTGTCTTGTACTTATTTATAATATTAAGGGTCAGTTTCACCAACGCTAGTTAGCTTAATCGCAATGCGTTAACTAATCAATCGCGTTTGCTGTAGAATCGATCAATTGCGGTTGATAGTTAATCATTAAGCTTGATCGGCGTTGGTGAAACCGGTTCTAATAAATGACTTCTAACTACACAAATAATTGTAGCTGCAAATTTGATTTCAGAGTTAATAACTTTAATAATTGTAATGCAAATAATTCTAACAATCACGTCTACAAACGAAATATAATTAATTATAGTTGAACAACTAATCGATAATTATATTTCTGAAAACAAATATTAAATCTAGTAATGTGCGTATAATCGAGAAAACAATATTAACGGTTTTACACCGCTTAGAAAGCTTTAAAATACTTTTATATTAAATTTTGTTCGATGTTTCATTAAATTAATCGCCGAGAATCCGATGTTTGATATATTGATCGTATTAATACTAAAGTGAATAATAATTATATAATCTGAACGAACTGTACTATTTCATTTGATTGTAATTCAAAATATAAAATGATTCAAATGAAGATGCTACTTGATGTAGTTAAAAAAAATTTTGTAAAAAGATGATTATAAACACTATTATTGTTTCGCAATGTTGGACAACGTTATTGGAAATTATTGCTTTATATTTGTTCTCAATCCGAACAATGATTTTTGTTTAAAAAAGTGTACTTGACAAGGATACTCTCGGTTTGCCATTTGCCTTCTGAGAGGAGATACGAGCGTTCGAAAAATTTTTCGGTTCTATTTGAAATCGAACCCGGAATCTGTGGCAGAATAACAGAATAGCAGTCTCGTGTGCTGCCTGTTACGCCATACTCGCACTCATGCCATCCGGACAGACTAAATCTTCACGAATATAAAAAAGTTTTATAGAATTTTATAGAATTTATAATAAAAACAAATTCTTGCTTTCTATATTTCTTTTGAAAATATTTGCTTCCTTAACTTTAATTCATAAATTGTGACTATATTCAGCATAAATTATGACAATTTTTATATAAATGTACTTAATATAATAAATCTACTAAGATGTGATTACGACAGATCATAAAGATACTGTAATAGTATGTCCTGCATCTTTATTGTCACAATGGAAAAATGAAGTGCAGAAAAGATGCAAACATGATCTATTATCTGTTGAAGTGCTTCACGACAGCAATCGACAGAAGAAGTCCTAAAGACTTGGAGAAAAATGATATAGTTATCACAACGTATCGTAATATCTGGAGAAATCAATTCTACATTATATAAATTCTACATTATATAAAGTATCAAAGCTTACAAATATTATTGACCACTGAGTAGACAAATAGAAACTTAATCTTATTAATACGTATATAACAGATCTGAGGTTTTAATTTAATTGCAAATTGAAATTTTATTACAGATCGATTGGAAAAGGGTTATACTCTATGAAGCATGTAGAGGACTTTTCTTTTCAGTTTAATCCATTCTGCTTCTGTGCGAAAGACTTATCACTAATTTCCAAATCCTATATATATAGACGATATATATATGAGAATAAATTGCAGCGTATCGCTTAATATTCTTAACTCACAAAATATTTAATCCTAATATATTGGGTTGTCCGGAAAGTTCGTGCCGCAAAAGATTTAAATTTAATAAATGTATACTAAAATTTAAATCTTCTGCGTTTAAGTTTTCCTTCAAAATCGGCACGAATTTTTCGGACAGCCCAATATATACATCCGAGGTTATCATTCTTCATACTCGATAAATTATATGATGAAATGCAAATGTTATATGGTTGAAATCAAACTATGAAGGTTTATCCCATGGTAGCATTAATGATACATGGTGGCATAAAACGCACATAACGTATGGTATTCCAAATATTGATATATGTCGAAGATAGCGTGATCACTATACCTATCGTCACTATAAAATAGTCGAAATAATTAATTGCCTTTTCCAGATTCCATACATTTTTCCTCTTCACAACTATTTCTGCGATCTGTTCTTGCGAATCATTCGTAAACTTCCTGATTCGACTTCTGGTTGGCTCCGTGGCATCTATGAGGAGTGGATGATCCTCCTGATGAGTACTAGTCATTGGAATTTGAGTGACTTCGTCCTCGTAATAACCATCGAATTCGCTCGAATGTGAATTTGTCTCCTCATCCAAATTATCAAAATAGAGATATGTATAGCTGTTAAAAATTCAATATTGAAGCAATAAATGCAGATTGAATGGATTTAAGGTGTTTGAGAAAATAAGTTTTTCAATTTACATATAGAATTAATTAAAAAAAAGAAATATATTTAAATATATGTTTCTCTAAACACTCATTATTCAATACCTGCGAGAATTATTCGTGGCACTTAAGAAACCATAGTAAATTGAACGGGAATGAGCTTCAGGGTCCATCAAATGCTGTTCTTCGCCATTGAATCTTTTGCGAGAACCTGGATAGATCTGTTTCTCGGCAATTGCTGCATGATTTGACTGTTTCTTCAAAGCTAGTGCTCGAGTGTATATCAGAGGCGGTAAAACAAAAATCAATGATCCGGTCAATGATCCACCAATGAGAGCCATGACGATGTCGAATCGCGGTACCGATTCGCCTACAACAACACTGAGAAAAACCACCGCTGATCTCATGGCACATCGTTTCCATCCGAAAGCTTGAATATAACAATAAGGTAAATTAATTGTGGCTTTAATTAAATCAATTAATTTATAAATAAATAAATGATCCTTTTATACTTCTTTGTATGTTCCATTGATCTTCTAGATGTTGAAAAAGCGCCGAATAACCGATTACGCTGGAGAAACATAATTGAAGAGCGGTTAATAGAATAGCGACGTTTGCAATCGATCCGGATGGTACAGCTTCCAAAATATTGGCAGTTATATTGCCACCGTATTTCCATGCAGCCAAACAAGCAGTGACGATAAACAATGATCCGCTTGCTGTTGCACAAAGAAATTAATATGAGAAGTACACTAGCAGTTATACAAAAAAGAATAGGTTCTGAGATCATAAAAAAATTATTTCAATATTAAAAAAATAGATTATTTAATAGATTATAAAATAGATTTACATTTATATTATTAGGTGTACAACTTTGCTTCCGCCGTTTTTTTTCCGAAATTCGAGACTTTATTGTAAAAAACTGGTTATACTTATGATTGGTTATATTTATGGTTATATTTATGATTCAAA